TTGCTGCATGAAGAAGTGCTGCAGCTGGAGGCTACACTGCTCACCATGCTAGGCAAATGCTACTAGAGCTGCCTCGTAGCTAACGATAGCTGGAGCACCGTAGCATGTAGACACAAGCTGTAAAACTGAACAAACGTCAACACAAATCAGGACCTTAGCTGCTTTCACAGTGGCTCATGCTATGCTAACGGCTAGCAGCTAAGTTTAACCATATCAACCTGAACCAGATTCCTGAAAACAAATAATGCTTGAAGATGTGGAGCTCAGTGGGAAATAAAAGAGACAGAACATCAGGAGACACTGAACTGGTGTTGATCTCCATCAAGACTTAGTTTTAGACTTAGTTTTAGACTTAACTTCATACTAGTTTTACAAATGTTTCTGGTTTGGTTTTGGGTGGTTGGATGTGGGCGTGGCTTTAGACCTGGTTTCAAACTTTTTTTTGGACCGGTGTCCTTCAGGCTACGGGTTTAGTTTAGGAATGGTTTAAACTGGCCTCAGACTAGTTTTAGACTTGGCTTTGGACTGGTTTTAAACAGGCTTGTTGGGCTGGATCTGGGTTTGATTTTAAGTTGATCTGGGCTTTGGGTTAGGACTGGTTAACTGGTCTGGGACTAGTTTTAACGTGACTCACTGTTGAATGGTTTTGAAGTGTTTCTGTATCTGCTGTTTGGCTGTTTTTAGCGTGGCTTTGGATTCATGTGGGGCTGGTTTTAGACCGATGTCTGCTGGACTTGGTCTTGCTCTCAGGTTCTAAACTGGTTCTAGAGCGTCTCGTGGATGCGGATCCTTCGTTGTGCCTCCAGCTGGATGTTCTGGTGCGTAGTTCTGCTGCAGGACGCTGGATGTGAGCGGAGGATAGCGTCTTCGGCTCCTCGGCCTTCAGCGAGGCTTCAGATGTGACGGTTCTGTTCGTCTCCACCGACGCCGGTCCTCATGAACAGTCCTCTGCTGCTCCGGCCTCAGCGTCTAATAGATGCTGGAGCTTCCCAACACAAAGGCCCGGTTTTAATCCGGCCCAGCGGGCCGCCGGAGCTTTGTTTGTGCTCGCCTCCTTCATGTGAAGAGGAGGCCGACCTCCCATGATGCTCTGCTCCTCTGAGGTCACGGCGGCCGGCGGAGGGGGTGGATTTAACAAGCGCCTCTCGTCCGTCATTAACACCTCTCCTCGCCTTTTCAGTCCGCCGTCTGATCCTCGCCGTCCGGACCGCCGGGCGGCTCATCATCGGAGGCGTCCGACGGCGCCGCCGCTCGTGTTCCGGGCGTGTCGGCGAGCGGGCGGAGCCAATCAGAGTCCGAGTGTTTGGCCACTTCAGCGCCGCTTTAAGGGATTAGTGCAGCTTTGTTTCCATTGTAGGCGCGAGGCTTTGGGAGCTTTATGATCCCCATAATCCCCCTGAAGTGGAGGAGGCCTCGCCGCTGCTGCTGACATCATTACAGTCCTGCTAGCACTCAGACACGCAGCACGTTAGCCGGACTCAAGCCGCCGCCGGCTTCACGGCTCGCTTTGGTTCTGCTCTGAAACGTCTGAACTCAGTTTAAAGACTGAAGTCGGCCTGAATCAGGAAACAAACAGCAGCTCGTTTAGCAGCAAAACCGTTCACCATGGAAACCAAGTCGGAGGTCTCAGGGGTCGCCTGCACCGGCTGTGGTGGTGGGAGG